ATTCCAGGGAGGAAGGTGAAGGGGGATTTTTGCAGCTGTCAGGGAATTAAAACCTAAGATATGGGAAATATAGCAAGCACAGGGGAATTGTTTAAAGACCCCTCTCTCATCAGCAGCACTGAGCAGAACTAACCGACTCTCGAGGACACTCACTATGCACCATTCCTGGTTCCTTCTCCCCCTTACATGTTAAACACCGGAGAGCACAAAGGCTAAGTCCCTGTGAATTACACCAGCTTCACCTCCTCTGTTGGGAAACTTATGTAGACTCCCTATTGTTATTGCAGTTACATTGTTTTAGATTAATCTACACACACATAGTAACTCACATACTCATATATAAATTATTATGAATCTATGCAGATGTTGACCCAGACTGTAACTTAATTTTATTTAAAATAGTGGTGTACATATTGATTGATGGTAGTCAATGGATTATATTAGAGGTAGAATGATATGTGTCGAGGTAAATATGGATAAACTTATGATTATCTACTTTCCAATGGCTTATCTTTATTACCATTAGTATATAAAAACTTTTAAACACATTAAAGGCTGTATGAAGAAGTTAACGATTCTTCAACCTCTTCTGTCTGCACCTGAACATATGAATCTGACACTGAAACACGCAAAGGCACAGTTCATCTTTCAGCCCTTGATTCTCTTTTCCACCAGTGAAATGTGTAGGAATTTCCTTATTGTTATTTCCACGTTGCCGGGAAAATATGTCTTGCCCAGCAAACTGCTATTCAAATGAGAACCCGCAGAGTTCCAGTCCAGCCTCATGCAGAGTTCCTCTGGGGAGCTGGCCTTCCGCTCCCTGTTATAAGAGCAAAGATGATTCGGTATTAAGACTGTGTCGCCCCCAAGAGGATAGCAGTTGCCTTGTTGTTCTAACTTCATCTCGGTGGCCTGGAAAAGCTGCCAAGGCAGGGGGAAACGTCTTGCCTTCTCAATGATGGTATGTTTGAAGTTCAAAAGTAGCGTGTGTTTTTTTTTCCCTTGGAAATTTGCTTACACTGTTACATCTACCTGATCACCAGGTGTCTCCCCAAACGGTAAGATGTTGACGTACTGGTGGCGTCGTGGTGCCTCCTCTGCAAGGTTCTCCACTGCTCCGTGCGTGAGAAAGAGGGGACTGTCTGCTACTCCATAAAGAGGTACAGTCTTGGAACGTCACAGGGACAGTCCTACCCTGTCCTATTGGGTCTTTCTGAGTCAGCATTGACTCGATGGCAGTGGGATGTGTTTATTTTTTCTAACCGAAGAGCACTGAAGTAGATTTAGAAGATATTTGGGGTTGACTTTCATC